TAATGGTCCCTTCCACCCCCTCCCACCGCCCTCGGCTGCGTGGCCCCGCCCCTCCTCCCGTGTGGGCGTGGCCTTGGGATGCGGCTTGGCCTCTGCGAGGCCCCGCCCCGTCTCTTGGCCCCGCCCCCAGACAGGGCTTGTGTTAACCTGGCCACCCATTGGACCAAGAGCCGCAGGGGGCGTGGATTGTGGCGCGGGGGCGTGGGTTGGGGGAAGGGGGCGTGGCCTCGGGCTTGCCTATAGGAGGCAATGGGGAGTCGGGAGCGGAAGGCCGGCTTCCGAGCCCGGGGGAAGAACCGGAAGAGGCGGCGCTCGGAAACGATTCCCCATTGGAAGAGCAGGGAAAACACGGGGGGGGGCAGCCCCAGGGCGAGGCGGAGCCACAGGCGGGGAAGCCCCGCCCCTGCCATGAGGCCACGCCCCCTCCCCAGCAGCCCCACGAGGTAAAGGGGCAGGAAGAGCCATGGGGACACCCAGAGCTGGGCGGCCAGGACCAAGACCGGGACATGTAAGGGGGGGGGCACCCCGAATTGGGGCCAAAAAGGGCCGAATCGGGGCAAGGCCAAGGTCAAGGTGAGGGTCAAGGTCAAGGGGAGGAGGGAGGGGGGGAACCAGGAAGAGGAGGTGTTGGTGCCGCCCCCACCCCATAGAGGGAGGGGGAAGGGAAGGGGGGGGAGGAAGAGGAGGAGGAGGGGGGGGAGGAGGAGGAGGAAGAGGAGGGAGGGGGGGAAGGGGAGGGGGGAGGGAGGGCGAGGGGAGGGGCTTAAAGAGGGGGAGGAGCCGTTGGAAGGGGAGGGGTTTGAAGGGTGGGAGGGGGCAGGGCTTAAAGAGGGGGAGGAGCCAATGGGGGTGGAAGGGGAGGCAATGGAGTGGGTGGGGCTTAAAAGGGGGGAGCAGCCAATGGGGGTGGAGAGGGAGGCAATGGAGTGGGAGGGGTTTAAAGGGTGGGAGGGGCCACTGGAGGGGGAGGTGGCAATCGAGTGGGAGGGGCTTAAAGGGGGGGTGGGGGAGGCAATGGAGTGGGAGGGGCTTAAAGGGGGAGTGGAGCCATTGGAAGGGGAAGGGCTTAAAGAGGGGGTGGAGTTTAATGAGTGGGAGGGGCTTAAAGTGAGGGAGGGGCCAGGGGAAGACTTGGGAGGAGGGGAAGGGGAAGGGGTGAGGAACGGGGAGGGGGTGGGGCGCTGGTGCCATTCCCGGCCTCTGGAATGCTGCTGGAGGGGGGGGGAGGGGCCCAGATCCGGCTCCTATGGGAGAAGGGAAGGAGCCATGGGGGGGGGGCACCCATAGATGGGGTCTATGGGGTGCCCCATGCAAATTGGGCCCCTCAACTCACAGCCAATTGGTGGAGAATGGAGCTGGGGGAGGAGCCTGTGTCCTGCTCGGCCAATGGGGAGGCTTCTTCCTCCTCCTCCTCCTCATCCTGGTCCAGGCTGGAGCTGGAGCTGCTGCTGGGCTCCAGGGCCTGGAGAGGACACACTGGGTGCTATAAGGACCCATAGGGTGCCATAGGGGCCCATAGAGTGCCATAGGGTCCCATAGGGTGCTATAGGGTGCTGTAGGGTTCTATATGGTGCTGTCACAGACCTGCCTCTGTGCCGGGTCCTGGCAGCGCCGCAGCAGCTCCGGCAGCACCCATGGGGGCAGTGTCCGGGTCACGAACCCGTGCTGGGGGCGGGGCCACGTCAGACCACGCCCCCTTCAAGCCCCGCCCCCAGAACTTGACCCCCCCTTTAGCCCCACCCCCTCCCTGTGACATCACCACCTGGCTGATAACGTCAGAGCTGGGCCGGGCCAATGGCGCCTTCTGCAGGCAGGAGGAGACGAAGGAGCGGAACGAGTCCGACCTATGGGGGAGCCGCGGCGTCTGTGGGACAGCCCCATGGAAGCTATGGGGCAGTCCCACGTCCCCTATGGGCCACCCCATAGAATCTATCGGGCGGCCCCATACCCCCTACAGGTCACCCCATAGAATCTATGGGGCAGCCCACACTCTCTTTGAGTCACCCCATAGAATCTATGCAGCCCCCATAGAAGCTATGGGCCACCCCATAGAATCTATGGGGCAGCCTCACACCCCCTATGGGCCACCCCATAGAATCTATGGGACAGCCCCACACCCCCTCTGGGTCACCCCACAGAATCTATGGGGCAGCCCCACGGACTCACCAGTGCCGGGGCTGCAGCGTGGGCGCCGGTTCCTGTGCGATGCGGTAGAGGGCGCTCATCGCGTTCAGGTTGAACAGCGGCGGCCTCCGCTCCGCTATGGGGCAATGGGGGGCAGTGCTATGGGGCGGCCCCACAAGTGCCCCCCCCCCCCCCGTACCCCCACAAGTGCCCCATACCCAGCTCAATGCAGGTGATGCCCAGGGACCACACATCGGCTTTGCCATCATAGAGCCCCTCGTCCATGGCCAGGATCACTTCCGGTGCCATCCTATGGGGCAGGATGTGGGGCAGGGCTATGGGGCAGTGCTATGGGGCAGGATGTTGGGCCGCGCTATGAGGCAGCCCCCTTACCAATATGGCGTCCCCACGAAGGAATTGGCCGGGGCCGAGGTGGAGGCGGAGCCAAAGTCCCCCAGCTTGACCAATCCTGGCGCAGTCAGGAGGATGTTCCCGGCCTTCACGTCCCTGTGGGGCAGGGCTATGGGGTGAGCTATGGGTCTGGGTCCCGCTATGGGGCTGGACGACGGGTCCCACTATGGGGCTGGGTCCCGCTATGGGGCTGGGTGATGGGTCCCGCTATGGGGCTGGACAACGGGTCCCACTATGGGGCTAGGTCCCGCTATGGGGCTGGGTTATGGGTCCCGCTATGGGGCCGGGTTATGGGTCCCGCTATGGGGCTGGGTTATGAGTCCTGCTATGGGTCTGACCTGTGGATGATGCTGTGCATGTGCAGGTAGCGCAGCCCCTGCAGCGCCCCATGGACAATGGCTGCGATCTCCAGCTCCTGCAGCGGCTGCTGGTGCTCTATGGGGCAGAGATGTGGGGCAGGGGGACGCTATGGGGCTGCCCCATAAGCCTGCCCCATAGCGCTGCACTCACCCTCCAGCAGGTCCGAGGCAGAGCCCACGCAATGCTCCATCACCAGCTGCAGACACAGGGTCAGGCTCTGCCCCATAAGTGGGGCCATGGGGGTGCTCCTGCCCCACATAAACGGATCCCCAGAGGCCCAGTGTGGGGCTTGTACCTCATGAGTGACACCTGAACCACATCTATGGGGCCCAATGTCCCCCTGCCCCACACTTACGGGTCCCCAACCCCCACCTATGGGTCCCAGCATTCCCATAACCCATCTATGGGTCCCAACCCCCCCCACTTACAGGTCCTTAACCCCATCTATGGGTCCCAGTATCACCCTGCCCCACATCTATGGGTCCCCAACCCCCACTTACGGGTCCCAGCACCCCCATAACCCATCTATGGCAAAGAACCCCCATCTATGGGTCCCAACCCCCCCACTTACAGGTCCTTAACCCCATCTATGGGTCCCACTATCGCCCTGCCCCACATCTATGGGTCCAAACCCCCCACTTATGGGTCCAACCCAGCCCCACATCTATAGGGCTCAGTACCCACCAACCCCAACCTATGGGGCCAAACACCCCCCCTCCACGCCCCTCAGAGGCCCCAACCCCCCCACTCCTGGGTCCAATCTATGGGGCCTGCCCCACATGTGTGGGGCTGGGGCTCACCCAGGCTGTGCGGCCCCATAGGAAGCAGCCCCGGTACTGGACGGTGTTGGGGTGGCGCAGGCGCCGCAGCAGAGACACCTCCTTGACGATGTCCAGCCACTTCTATGGGGCAGAGAGGGGGGGCTATGGGGCAGGCTGTGGGGCAGACGGGGGGCTATGGGGCAGGAAGCTCCGCCCTCTCGGCCTCACCTCATTGGCCTGTTTCCCGCTGTAGTTCATCTTCTTGATGGCCACAACCTCGGCAGTGCGCAGGTCCCGGGCCTGCAACAGCGACCCATGGATGTGGGGCAGGACCCACGGATGGGGGGCAGGACCCACAGATGTGGGGCAGGACCCATTGATGGAGGGCAGGTGAGCCCTACAGATGTGGGTCAGGTGGGTGCTGAACCCCAGATGCTCTCTGCCCCACATCTATGGGGCTCATCATCCCCTGATCCCCATCTATGGGGCACTGGGCCCATATGAGACATTGGGTCCCATAAACACCCCCTGCCCCACATCCATAGGTCCCAAAGCTCATCTAGGGGGCTTGACCCCTCTCTGCCCCACACCTATGGGGCTTAAAGCACCACTTATGGGTCCTGCCCCCCATCCATAGGTCCAAACAGCCCATAAATGCTCATCTATGGGACCCAAACCCCTACTTATGGCTCCTGCCCCACATCTATGGGTCCCAAACGCCCACATATGGGTCCTGCCCCACATCTATGGGGCACTCACATAGTAGACGGCTCCGAAGCTGCCGTGCCCGATCTCCCGCAGGTCCCCGAAGCGCTTCTCGGGATCTTCCTTCAGGAACAACTCGGCTCCATTAGCACCAATGGGGCCGGACGGCATCGTGGGACCTACGGGACCCACAGATTCTATGGGGCTGCCCCATAAGTGCCCCACAGACGCTCCTTTCCCTTTCTCCCCCCCCTTTCTCACCGCTCCTTGGGCCCGGTCCGGCTCCGGCGGGTCCCGGCGCCCCCCCCCCGGCGGTTGCAGGTCCGGGGGGGGGCCGCGGCCTCCCCCGAGGCGGCTCCTTCAGTCGTGGCCGCTGCGGGGACCCGAAAAGGCCGAATCTGAGCCCAAATCGAGGCCGAGGCCTCAAACCGGGGCCTAAGCCGCAACCGGAGCCGCCCCTTCCCCGCAGCCAAGATGGCGGCCGCGGGCTGAGGGGAAGCGGGGGCGCCGGCGGGGAGGCGGGGTTTAGGGAAAGCTCAGCCAATCAGCGCGCGGGGCGGGAGGATAGGGGGGTGGTGATTGGTTGGAGGAGGGCGGGGAGAACCGAGCAAACCACGCCCCTGTCGCCGAAACAACGCGATGAGGGGGCGTGGCCTGGCGGACAGTAGGCGTGGCTTACCGGGCGCCATGGCAGCGCCTCCATCTCTCTCCGCGTCTCCATGGCAACGCCCCCCTCCCTTCGCGCATGCTCAGAGGGCGGTGGGAACCGGAGCAAGATGGCGGCCGCGGGCTGAGGGGACCGGCTCCGGTTAATGGCGGTCTATGGGGCTCTGAGGCGGGTTAACGGGGTTCTATGGGTGCCTATTGGGTCTATGGGGGTCTTAAAGGGGGTTTTAATGGGGGTCTATGGGGTTCAATGTGGATCTAAGTGGCGTTGGGGGGTTAATGGTATCTATGGGGCGTCTATGGGCCCTTGACCCCCTCTCCCCCATAACCCCCCTTGTCGCCCCTAAAGAACCCCTGAAAATGCCCCCAAATCCCCCCCAAAACCTAAAAATGCCCCCAAATCTCCTGAAAACGTCCCCAAAACGCCCCAAACCCGATTAAAAACGGGGTTTTGCAGAGGCCTCTAAAGCGTTTTTATTGCGTTGGGGGGGGTTAAAGGAGCCCCCTCATAGTCAAGCCCCGCCCCTCGCTCTCTCATTGGCCTGCCGCGTCCCCTGTGCACCCCGTCCGTTCCTCCATATTGGCTGGCCGCGCGCCCCTTGCCCCGCTCTGATTGGCTGGCGGTGGTGGCAGGTACCCGGATATTGCCGCGGGGGTTGCTGGCGGTTGTAGTTCATGGGGGGGGGGGGCTGGAGCCGGGCGGGGCCATAGGGGTTAAAAGGGGAACGAGGGACGGGTGGACACGGAGACCTATAGAGACCCATAGAGACCCACAGAGACCCACCGAGACTTCCTGCGGACCCACAGGTACATTCTGGGACCTATAGAGACCTATAGAAACCTACAGAACCCCCCCCCTTGGACCCATAGAGACCCATATGGACCCATAGGGACATCCTTGGACCCATAGAGACCCATAGGGACCCATATGGGACATTCTGAGACCCATAGAGGTCCCCCCCCGACCCATAGAGACCCATAGGGACCCATATGGGACCTATAGAGGCCCATAGAGACCCCATAGAGACGCCATAGAGACGCCATAGAGACGCCATAGAGACCCCATAGAGACCCCATAGAGACCCCATAGAGACCCCATAGAGACCCATAGAGACCCCATAGAGACCCATAGAGACACATAGAGACCCCATAGAGACCCATATGGGACCTATAGAGACCCATAGAGAACACCCACCTGGACCCATAGGGACCCTATAGAGACCCATAGACCACCCCCCAAGACACCCATAGGCACCCCATAGCCCCCCATAACCCCTCTTTCCCCCCCCCAGCGCTGCCCCATGGCCCGTCATGCCTTAACACGCTTCAACACGCTTGGACACGCCACCACCGCCCTATGGCTGCTGCTGCTCGCATGTAAGTGGGGGGGGGCCCACACATGGGACATGCATGGGACCCACAAGTACCCCCCCCATACCCTGGGGGGGGGGAACCGCGTCGGGGTGTGCCCCATAGAACCAGTCCGGCTGGTTCCATAGGGCTTCAATGGGGCGGAAATGGGGGGGGGCACCCCAGAAGCTGCTTCACCCCCTTTTTAACCCCCCCCCAGGTGGAGCTGGGGTGGCTGAGGAGGGTGATGAAGGTAAGGGGGGGCCCACTGGGGGCTATGGGGTGGCTATGGGGCGGCTATGGGGCGCCCCTCACTTCCCCCATGTCCACACTTCCCCCTATGGCGCAACCCTGTCGCCAACGGTCCTGACTTCAAGGGGATGCTGGGCCCCATAGAACCCCCATATAATGCCTATAGAACCCCATATACTGCCCATAGAACACCCATGTGCCCCCATATAACCCAATATACCCCATATAACTCTGTACCATACCCCCATACAGACTCTATATACCCCCATGCACACCCCATATACCCCCATGCACACCCCATATGCCCCCTACACACTCCATATACCCCCTACACACCCTATATACCCCCCATAGGGCCCCATCCCCCCCCTTACCCCCCTCTCTTTTCCCCCTCCCCCCCCAGCGCCCCTCCCCCCCTGCGGGCTGCCCCAGCCTCGCGCCCGCGTCGTGGGGGGGGAGGCGGCGGCGGCGGGGGCGTGGCCGTGGCTCGTGAGCCTGGAGCTGGGGGGGCAGCACCGCTGCGGGGGGACCCTGCTGAGCCCCCATTGGGTGCTGAGTGCGGCCCATTGCTTCCAGGGGTAAGAGGGGGGGTTATGGGGGTCTATGGGGGGGTATATGGGGGTCTATGGGGGGTCTATGGGGGTCTATGGGGGTCTGTGGGTGTCTATGGGGGGTCTGTGGGGGTCTATGGGGTCTATGGGGGTCTGTGGGGGTCTATGGGGTCTATGGGGTCTTGGGTTATGGGGTTGGATGGGGTCTATGGGGGGCTATGGTATGGGGTCTATGGGGTATGGGGTCTATGGGGGTCTATGGGGTATGGGTCTAGGGGGGTCTATGGGGGTCTATGGGGGTCTATGGGGGTCTATGGGGGTCTATGGGGGTCTATGGGGTCTATGGGGGTCTATGGGGGTCTATGGGGGTCTATGGGGGTCTATGGGGGTCTATGGGGGTCTATGGGGGTCTATGGGGTCTATGGGGGTCTATGGGGGTCTATGGGGGTCTATGGGGGTCTATGGGGGTCTATGGGGGGTCTATGGGGGTCTATGGGGGGTCTATGGGGGTCTATGGGGGGCTATGGGGGTCTATGGGGGTCTATGGGGGGTCTATGGGGGTCTATGGGGGGTCTATGGGCGTCTATGCGGGGGCTATGGGGGTCTATGGGGGGTCTATGGGGGACTATGGGGGTCTATGGGGGGCTATGGGGGTCTATGGGGGGTCTATGGGGGTCTATGGGGAGCCGCTTCCATTGAGCGTCAGTGGTGCTAAGGAGCGCTGCACGGGGTAGCCACTAGAGGGCGAGATAGTGCTCTATGGGACTCTATGGGGGGATGTATGGGGGTCTATGGGCTTCTATAGGGGTGTATGGGGATGATATGGGGGCTGTGGAGGGGTATGGAGGTTATATGGGGGGTATGGGGGATATGGGCTGGGTATGGGGTTATACGGGGGTTATATGTGGGTTATAAGGAGTTATATGGGTGTTATATGGGCTCTATGGGGGGATTATATGGGGGTTATATGTGGGTTATACGGGGGGGGATGGGGGATACGGGGGGAGGAATATGGGGGTCTATGGGGTCCGTGTCCCCCCAATAACGCCCCTGTAACCCCTCCCCCCCATAACCCCTCCCCCAGTGCCCCCGGTGCAGACTCCCCCCACTCCTGGCGGGTGGTGCTGGGGCGGCTGCACCTGGGGGGGGCAGAGGGGGAGGGGCAGGAGGTGTCGGTGAGCCGCGTGCTGCCCCACCCCCGCTACCGCCACGTGCGGGGGGGTCACGACCTGGCCCTGCTGCGCCTGCGCCCCCCCGCGCGCCTCGGCCCCGCCGTGCGCCCCCTCTGCCTCCCCCCCCCCGCGCTGGCCCTGCCCTATGGGAGCCGCTGCTGGGTGAGCGGCTGGGGGCACGTGGCTGAGAACGGTGAGAGATGGGGGGTATGGGGTGTCTATGGGGGGATATGGGGGTCTATGGGGGTCTACGGGGGGCATATGTGGGTCTATGGGGGGTCTATGAGGGTCTATGGGGTGTCTATGGGGGTCTATGACAGGGATATGGGGGTCTATGGTTGGGCTATGGCGTGCCTATGGGGCCTATGGGGGTCTATGGGGGGATATGTGGGTCTATGGTGAGTCTATGGGGGGATATCGGTGGGCTATGGAGTGTCTATGGGGTCTATGGGGGGCTATGGGGAGTCTATGGGGGGCTATGGGAGGCCTATGGGGGAATATAAGGGGTCTATGGGTGGGCTATGGGGTGTCTATGGGGCCTATGGGTGATCTATGGGGGGGTATGAGGTGTCTATGAAGGGATATGGGGGTCTATGGGGGGGCTATGTGAGGTCTATGGGGGCTATGGGGGGACTATGAGGGGCTATGGGGGTCAGTGGGTGTGTGTGGGGGGGTCTATGGGTTCTATTGGGGTCTGTGTCTCTATGTGTCCCTATCTGTCTCTATGGGTCTCTATGGGTCTCTATGGGTCTCTATGGGTCTCTATGGTGTCCTTATGGTCTCTATGGGTCTCTATGTGTCTCTATGTGTCTCTATGTGTCTCTATGGGTCTCTATGGGTCTCTATGGGTCTCTATGTGTCTCTATGGGTTTCTATGGTGTCTCTATGGGTCTCTATGTATCTCTATGTGTCTCTACGGTGTCTCTATGGGTCTCTATGGTGTCTCTGTGTGTCTCTATGTGTCTCTATGGTGTCTCTATGGGTCTCTATGGTGTCTCTATGTGTCTCTATGTGTCTCTATGTGTCTCTATGTGTCTCTATGTGTCTCTATGGGTCTCTATGGGTCTCTATGGTGTCTCTGTGTGTCTCTATGTGTCTCTATGTGTCTCTATGGGTCTCTATGGTGTCTCTATGTGTCTCTATGTGTCTCTATGTATCTCTATGTGTCTCTATGTGTCTCTATGTGTCTCTATGGTGTCTCTATGGGTCTCTATGGTGTCTCTATGTGTCTCTATGTGTCTCTATGGTGTCTCTATGGGTCTCTATGGTGTCTCTATGGGTCTCTATGGTGTCTCTATGTGTCTCTATGTGTCTCTATGTGTCTCTATGTGTCTCTATGGGTCTCTATGGTGTCTCTATGTGTCTCTATGTGTCTCTATGTGTCTCTATGTGTCTCTATGTGTCTCTATGTGTCTCTATGTGTCTCTATGGTGTCTCTATGGGTCTCTATGGTGTCTCTATGGGTCTCTATGGTGTCTCTATGTGTTATGGGTCTCTATGTGTCTCTATGTGTCTCTATGGGTCTCTATGGTGTCTCTGTGTCTCTATGTGTCTCTATGTGTCTCTATGTGTCTCTATGTGTCTCTATGGGTCTCTATGGTGTCTCTATGTGTCTCTATGGGTCTCTATGTGTCTCTATGTGTCTCTATGGGTCTCTATGTGTCTCTATGTGTCTCTATGGGTCTCTATGTGTCTCTATGTGTCTCTATGTGTCTCTATGTGTCTCTATGTGTCTCTATGTGTCTCTATGGGTCTCTATGTGTCTCTATGGGTCTCTATGGGTCTCTATGTGTCTCTATGTGTCTCTATGTGTCTCTATGGTCTCTATGTGTCTCTATGTGTCTCTATGTGTCTCTATGTGTCTCTATGTGTCTCTATGTGTCTCTATGTGTCTCTATGTGTCTCTATGTGTCTCTATGTGTCTCTATGGTCTCTATGGTCTCTATGTGTCTCTATGTGTCTCTATGTGTCTCTATGTGTCTCTATGGGTCTCTATGTGTCTCTATGTGTCTCTATGTGTCTCTATGTGTCTCTATGTGTCTCTATGGTCTCTATGTGTCTCTATGTGTCTCTATGGTGTCTCTATGTGTCTCTATGTGTCTCTATGGTCTCTATGTGTCTCTATGTGTCTCTATGGTGTCTCTATGTGTCTCTATGTGTCTCTATGTGTCCCTATCTGTCTCTATGTGTTTCTATGGGTCTCTATGGGTCTCTATGGTGTCCCTATCTGTCTTTATGTATTTCTATGGGTCTCTATGTACCTCTGTGTGTCCCTATGTGTCCCTATCTGTCCCTATGGGTGTCTATGTGTCCCCGCAGTGTCTCTGCCCCTGGGCGCCCCCCTGCAGGAGGTGGCTCTGCCCCTGCTGAGCCCGGACACCTGCAACTGCCTGCACGCGGGGCTGCGGCGCAGGGAGCTGGGGCGCCCGGCCCGGCCCGGCATGGTCTGTGCTGGGGGCACTGCCGGCAAGGGAGCCTGCCAGGTAACCGGGGCCAGCGGGCAATGGGGGCCCAGGCCTGGGCCCATCCCCTCTATTGGATCCTAGAGCTGACCCCTAGCTGACCCCTAGCTGACCCCATCCCCTCTATCGGACCCTAGAGCTGACCCCAGCTGACCCCATGCCCTCTATCGGACCCTATAACTGACCCCATGCCTTCTATCTGACCCTATAGCTGATCCCTAGCTAACCCCAGCTGACCCCATGCCCTCTATCTGACCCCATACCCTCTATCTGACCCCATACTTGACCCCATACCCAGCCCCATACCCCCATCTGACCCCATACCTGATTCCATATCTCCTATCTGACCCCTCTCTGCCTCCATCTGATCTTATATGATCTCTACATGACTCTTATAGCCCTATATGACCTCTACATGACTCCTATATGATCCCTGTATGATCCTATATGGCCCTTACCTGATCTTTTATCTGACCCCTACCTGACCTCTAGGTGACCTTATCTGAACCCTATATGACCCCATACCTGACCCCTATGTAACCCCTATCTGAACTCTATATGACCCCATATGACCCTATCTGACCCCTATAACCTCGACCTGACCCCATACCTGACCCCCTCCCTGACCTCTACCTGACCCCTCCATGACCCATACCTGACCCCTGTGACCCTCCATGACCCCTATGTGACCCCTCTCTGACTCCATTCCTGACCCCTCTGTGACCCCCATATGTGACCCCTTTGTGACCCCTCTCTGACCCCATACCTGACCCCTCCCTGCCCCCCCCATGGCTGCCGCTCTCCCCCTCAGGCAGACTCGGGGGGCCCCATCCAGTGCCAGGGGGGCTCCGGGCGCTGGTTCCAGGCCGGGGTCCTGAGCTTCGCCGTGGGCTGCGCGCGCCCGGGGCTGCCGGTGCTGGCCACGGCCCTGGGGGCCCACGCGCGGTGGCTGCGGCGCCACCTCCCCCCCAGCGCCTTCCTCCCGCCCCACGGCGCCGCCCCCGAGCCCCACAGCGAGGACGGGATCTGCCTGGGTAAGGAGCCATCGGGATGGGGGGCGCCCCATAGACCCCTGTGTGTGTGTGTCCCCATAGAGCTATGGGGCGCCCCATAGACCCCTGTGTGTGTGTGTCCCCATAGAGCTGTGGGGCGCCCCATAGACCCCCCCCCAAACACCCCCAAACCCCCCCCAAACCCCAAACCCCCCCCCACACCAAACCACCCCATAGACCCCTGTGTGTGTCTCATCCCCCATAGAGCTATGGGGCGCCCCATAGACCCATGTCCCCCCCGCAGGGTGCGGGATGTGGGGCGGCCCCGCTTTGGCGCCCCCTAGCGGCGCGGCGTGGCCCTGGTCCGTGGTGCTGCTGCGGGGGGGGCGGCCCCAGTGCTGGGGGGCGCTGATAGCGGAGAGCTGGGTCCTGAGCGCCGCGCACTGCTTCATCGGGTGAGTGCCTGCCCTGCCGCCCCATAGGGACACATGGGGACCCCATGGAGACCCATAGAGACCCATAGAAACCCATAGAGACCCATAGAAACACCATAGAGACCCATAGGGACCCCATAGAGACCCCATAGGGACCCATAGAGACCCCATAGAAACCCATAGAGACCCATAGAAACCCCATAGAGACCCATAGAGACCCCATAGAGACCCCATAGGGACCCATAGAGACCCCATAGGGACCCATAGAGACCCATAGAAACCCATAGAGACCCATAGAATCACCATAGAGACACATAGAAACAACATAGAGACCCATAGAAACATGATAGAGACCCATAGAGACCCATAGAAACATCATAGAGACCCATAGAGACACCATAGGGACACCATAGGAACCCCATAGAGACCCATAGAGACACCATAGAAACCCCATAGAGACACCATAGAAACCCCATAGAGACCCATAGAAACCCGTAGAGACCCCATGGAGACCCATAGAGACCCTGTAGAGACACATAGCATCCCTATAGCACTGACTCATAGAACCCCCATAGCATCCCCATATCAACCCCCATAGCATCACCATAGTGCTGCCCCATAGAACCCCCATAGCATCCTCATAGCATCCCTATGGCACTGCCCCATAGAACCCCCATAGCATCCCCATAGCATCCCTATGGGGCTGCCCCCTAACCCCCCCCATTCCTCTTCCTTCCCAGCCACCAATCCCCATCCGAGTGGGAGGCGCTCCCGCTGGCCCTCGACAACGTCACCGCTGACGTCACGTCCGGCTCCGCCCCCTCCCGCCTGCACGTCACCAAGCTCCGCCTCCACGGCTCGTTCGTGGGGGCGGGGCCGGGGGGGGGCCGGGACGCGGCGCTGCTGCGCGTGGAGCCCGCGCTGGGGCTGAGCGCGAGGCTGAGGCCGCTCTGCGCCCCCTATGGGGACCACAGCGCCCCGCCCCCACCCGGCACCCGCTGCTGGGCCCTGCTGGGGGGGAACGGTGAGAACACGTGGGGGGGAACCCCCATAGAGACACATGGGGGGACATAGAGAGACATAGGGGTACATAGAGAGACATAGGGACCCATAGAGACACATGGGGGGACATAGAGAGACATAGGGGTACATAGAGAGACATAGGGGGACGTAGGAACCCCATAGAGAGACTTAGGGACACATAGAGATAGAGACACCATAGAGACCCATAGGGATACATAGGGATACATAGAGATACATAGAGATACATAGGGATACATAGGGATACATGTGTCCCCATTGACCCCATTGCCCCATTGCCCCATAGCCCCCATTGCCCCTATTGACCCCATTGACCCCATTGCCCTTATTGACCCCATTGCTCCATAGCCCCCATTGCCCCTATTGCCCCATTGCCCCCATAGCCCCCATAGCCCCCATTGCCCCCATTGCCCCATAGCCCCCATTGCCCCCATTGACCCCATTGCCCCCATTGCATCCCCATTGCCCCATAGCCCCCATGCCCCATTGCCCCATGCCCCATGCCCCATCCCCATAGCCCATCCCATACCCCCATCCCCATAGCCCCCATTGCCCCATAGCCCCCATTGCCCCATTGCCCCCATAGCCCCCATTGCCCCCATTGACCCCCATTGCCCCATAGCCCCCATTGACCCCCATTGCCCCATAGCCCCCATAGCCCCATTGCCCCCATACCCAGGCTCCCTCAGCCCCATGGATGCGCTCAGTGTGGAGGTGTCGCTGCCGGGACCCTGTGAGACCCCGACCCCCAACGGCACCGTTTGTGTCACCGTGCTCGAGGGCAACAGCAGCCGGCAGGTCTGGGGGGCACTGGGGCCCTAGGGGGCCATTGGGGGGCACTGGGGCCATTGGGGGCCATTGGGGGCCATTGGGTCTCTATGGGGCCATTGGGGGCCATTGGGTCTCTATGGGGCCATTGGGGGGCATTGGGTCTCTATGGGGTGATTGGGAGCCATTGGGTTTCTATGGGGCACTTGGGGCCATTGGGGACCATTGGGTCTATTTCGCTCTGGTTTGGGTCAATTTCTCGCTGTTTTGGGTCTATTTCGCTCTGGTTTGGGTCTATTTCTCTCTGTTTTGGGTCTATTTCTCGCTGTTTCGGGTCTATTTCGCTCTATTTTGGGTCTATTTCTCTCTATTTCGGGTCTATTTCGCTCTGTTTTGGGTCTATTTCTCTCTGTTTTGGGTCTATTTTGCTCTATTTTGGGTCTATTTCTCGCTGTTTCGGGTCTATTTCGCTCTCTTTTGGGTCAATTTCTCGCTGTTTTGGGTCTATTTCGCTCTGTTTTGGGTCTATTTCTCGCTGTTTCGGGTCTATTTGCTGTTTTGGGTATTTTGCTGTTTGGGTCTATTTCGCTCTCTTTTGGGTCAATTTCTCGCTGTTTTGGGTCTATTTCGCTCTGTTTTGGGTCAATTTATCGCTGTTTTGGGTCTGTTTTGCAGGCTCTTGCTGGCTCCCCATTGGCCTGCCTGGAGCGAGGGGTCTGGTTCCTGCTGGGCACGGCCACAACCACTGCGGCAGCGGAGGGGGGGGGAGCGCTCCCCTTCACCAGCGCCCCCCCCCTGGAGCGCTGGATCAGTGGCATCGCCCGAGAGGCCTTCTTCAATGAGACCCCCCCCGATGAGGAGGAGAAGGATGGGGATGAGGATGGGGATGAAGGGGATGCGGATGCGGATGCGGCTGTGGATGCAGATGAGGATGCTCTGGACCACCCCATCCCCACCATGGGGGAGACCAGCACCACCGAGGCACTGATGGACCCCAATGAAGGACCCATGGGCAACCCCATAGCCTGACCCCCCCCTTCCCCCCTAAACTTTTGGCGGGGGGGTCACACACAGGGAACAATAAATGGTGATGGGCAGCACTTGGGGGGGGGTGGTCCAGATCCGTTTTTTGGGGGAAAAACACCACTTTGGGGGTGAAAAAGCATCCAATTTCCACCAATCACCCCCCCCCAAAATGGTTCGTTCCGACCCAGACACTGCGATTTCCCCCGATCCACAACAAATTGGGTCATTCCGACACCAAAATCCCCGGTTTCCACCCAAAATGGTCCATTCCCACGTCAAAACACCCCAAAATGGTCCTTTCTCACCTCAAAACACCCCAAAATGGTCCGTTCCCACCTCAAAATACCCCAATTCCACCCAAAATGGTCCGTTCCCACCTCAAAACACCCCAAAATGGTCCATTCCCACCTCAAAAGACCCTAATCCCACCCAAAATGGTCCGTTACCACCTCAAAGCCCCAAAATGGTCTGTTCCCACCTCAAAACACCCCAAAATGGTCCGTTCCCACCTCAAAACACCCCAATCCCCCCCAAAACGGTCGATTCCACCCCAAAAACCCCCAAATCGCCCCATTTCACCCCAATTCCTCCCCTTCACCCCCCGCCTTCCACCGCATGGTCTCGTCCGCTCCCTCCCTCCCTCCCCGGAAGCGCCCGCAGACCACGCCCCTCGCTCAGGCCACGCCCCCGGCCCCGCGCCGCCGCCGCCGCCGCCGCCCGGTCCTAGCGCCGAACCCCCCCCCGGTCAAGGTGAGCCCCATTGAGCCCCTTTCAGCCCCATTGAGCCCCACACACCCCATAGGACACCAGCATGGACCCCCCCGCCCCCCTTCCCGGCATGCACTGCACCCCCATTAGAAGCCCTCCCCCCTTGAGCCCTGTGTTAGAGCCCCATTGAAGCCCTTTCCGCCCCCCATTGATCCCCACTGGCCCCCCATTATCTCCTATTAACCCCCATTGCCCCCTATTTGTCCCCATTAACTCCCCCCATTGCCCCCCCCGTTGCCCCCCATTACCGACCCCATTGTCCCCTATGGCATCCCTATTACCCCCATTGCCCCCCATTGACACCCCATTACCTTGCATCGTCCCCCATTGCACCCCTAGTGCCCATCATTGCCTCTCCATCACCCCCCCGTTGTCCCCTATTCACCCCCTATTGCCCCCCATTACCCCCCCATTGCCCCCCATTACACCCCCCATGACCCTCATCCGACCTGGCTCCATGTCCACAGGGGCCATGGAGGAGCCAGGAGGGGACGTCCATGATGGCACCCATAAGGATGACGTTGGTGGCACCCATAGGGATGACCAAGGTGGCACCCATAGGGATGACCAAGGTGGCACCCATAGGGGTGACCAAGGTGGCACCCATAAGGATGACCAAGGGGGCACCCATAGGGATGCCCATAGGGACACCCATAGTGGTCCCCATGGCGATGACACCCATAGGGATGCCCATAGGGGCACCCATAGTGGTGACCATGGCGACGGCCCCCAGCGCATCCCCCGCAGCAGCACCCATCCCACCCGGTCCCAAAGCGCCCAGCGCGGGGGTCCCGATGGCGCCAGCACCACGGACAGGGACAGAGGGGGCACCAGAGCCCCCATGGGTGCCACCAGCCCCCCCACCCCTATGGGCCCCATAGAACCCCCTGGAGCCGATGCCCCCATGGGCCCTGGGGGTGCATCCGGAGCTGCCTCCAGGTCCAGAGCGCGTCGGGGCTCCCCCAAGGCCTCAGAAGGCGCCCACAGAGCACCCAAAGGTGCCCCCAAAGCACCCAAAGGCACCGAGCCCACCCCTATGGACCCCATTGACCCAACCGCGACCCCAATGGAAGACCTTGGTGATGCCACCAGCATCACAGCACCAAGAGGCCCCAAAGCCCCCTCTATGGACCTCATAGACCTAACCGCGACCCCAATGGAAGACCTTGGTGATGCCACCACCATCGCAGCACCCAAACCCCCCTCTATGGACCCCATTGACCCAAGTACAACCCCAATGGAAGACCTTGGCGATGTCACCACTACTGCAGCACCCAAAGGCACGAAACCCATGGACCCCATTGACCCAATCCCAATGGAACACCTTGGAGATGCCACCACCATCACAGCACCCAAAGTCACCTCCAAAGCACTGAAAGACACCAAACCCATGGACCCCATTGACCCAACTGTGACCCCAATGGAAGACATTGGAGATGCCACCACCATTGCAGCAACAAGAGGCCCCAAACCCATGGACCCCATTGACCCAATCCCAGTGGAAGACCTTGGTGATGCCACCACCATGGCAGCGCCCAAACCCCCCTCTATGGACCCCATTGACCCAACCCCAATGGAAGACCTTGGAGATGCCACCACCATGGCAGCGCCCAAACCCCCCTCTATGGACCCCATTGACCCAACCCCAATGGAAGACCTTGGAGATGCCACCACCATCGCAGCGCCCAAACCCCCCCCTATGGACCCCATTGACCCAACCGCGACCCCAATGGAAGACCATGGCGATGCCACCACCACCACGGCCGCCCCCGCCCCGCCGCCCCCGTTCCGCTGCCCCTGCTGCCCCAAGTCCTACCCGTCGCTCTCCAAGCTCACCATCCACCAGCGGGTGCACACGGGCGAGCGCCCCTTCCTCTGCCCGGACTGCCCCAAGTCCTTCGCCGACCCCTCGGTGTTCCGCAAGCACCGGCGCGGCCACGCGGGGCTGCGGCCCCACTGCTGCCCCCTGTGCCCCAAGGCCTACGCAGAGCGCAAGGACCTGCGCAACCACCAGCGGGTGCACACGGGCGAGCGGCCCTTCCTGTGCGCGCACTGCGGCAAGAGCTTCGGCCGCGCCTCCTCGCTCGCCTGCCACCAGCGCATCCACGCGCCGCGCAAGCCCTACCCGTGCCGCGAGTGCGGCAAGGCCTTCACGCAGCTCTCGTCCTACCAGAGCCACCGGCGCCTGCACACGGGCGAGCGCCCCTTCCTCTGCCCCCAGTGCGGCCGCACCTTCGCCGACCCCTCCAGTTACCGCCGGCACCAGCGCGGCCACAGCGGCCTCAAGCCCCACGCCTGCCGCGACTGCGGGAAAGCCTTCCGGCAGCCGGCGGACCTGGCGCTGCACCGCCGGACCCACACCGGCGACCGGCCCCATAAGTGCGGGGAGTGCGGGAAGGGCTTCGTGGCCTCCTGGGATCTCAAACGGCACCGGCTCAGCCACAGCGGGGAGAGGCCCCACAAGTGTGGGGAGTGCGGGAAGGGCTTCGGGGAGCGGGGGGCGCTGGGGAAGCACCGCAGGACCCACAGCGGGGAGCGGCCCCATAAGTGTGGGGAGTGCGGGAAGGGGTTCACGGGGGTGTCGGCGCTCAGGAAGCACGAGAGGACGCACGGGAAGGGGGTGGATGGGGGGCAAGGGGGGCAGGCGGCGGCGGTGGTGGGGGTGGGAGACATCCATAGGGTGGATGTGGGACCTATGGATGGGGTCAGTATGGGAGCCATCGGTGGGGGCAATGATGGAGCCATCCATAGGGTCAATATGGGAGCAACTGATGGGGGTAATGATGGAGCCATCCATAGGGTCAATATGGGAGCCATCGGTGGGGGCAATGATGGAGCCATCCATAGGGTCAATATGGGAGCCATCGGTGGGGGCAATGATGGAGCCATCCATAGGGTCAATATGGGAGCCATCGGTGGGGGCAATGATGGAGCCATCCATAGGGTCAATATGGGAGCCATTGGTGGGGGCAATGATGGAGCCATCCATAGGGTCAATATGGGAGCAACTGATGGGGGTAATGATGGAGCCATCCATAGGGGCAATGTGGGCACCATCCATAGGGTGAATGTGGGTGCCATTGATGGGGGCAATGTGGTACCCATGGATGGGGTCAATATGGGAGCCATTGATGGGGGCAATGATGGAGCCATCCATAGCGTCAATATGGGAGCCATGGATGGGGTCAATATGGGAGCCATGGATGTGGTCAATGTGGGACCCATGGATGGGGGCAACGATGGAGCCACCCATAGGGTCAATATGGGCACCATCCATAGGGTCAATATAAGCACCAAAGATGGGGTTCATGTGGATGCTGGAGGGGGGGCCAATATGGCGGCCATGGATGGACTCAATATGGCCGCCAAAGATGGCATCCATATGGACGCTGGAGGGGGGGGCCATACATCCCCTGAGCCCGGACCCTATATGGGGCCCAATCCCGGGACCAACATGGCCGCCCCCATCGGGGTTCAACCAGGGGCCAACATGGCCGCCCCTACCATGGCGGCCGCCATGCTGGACGCCAAGATGGCGGCCCCCGAGCCGGGCCCCTTCGCCTGCCCGCTGTGCCCCAGGCGCTTCCGGGCGAGGGCGGGGCTGCGGAAGCACCAATGGCGGCACGGCCCCGCCCAGGCCCCGCCCCCCGGCGCGCCTTAACCCCCCCCAGGGCTGCCTTTGGCCCGCTCTGTGTGGCTCCGTGGGAAATAAACCGACCAATCAGAGCTGCGCCTGTGCCGCCCTTTTATTGACGCCACGCCCCTCTTTGCCCCCCCGTTGACCTCCACTGCCCCCTCTTTATACTCCCATTACCTTCTATTGCCCCCATTGCTGCCCTATTGCCCCCCATTATACCCCCATTACCCTCTATTGCCCCCCATTGCTGCCCTATTGCCCCCCATTATACCCCCATTACACTCTATTGCCCCCCATTGCTGCCCTGTTGCCCCCCATTATACCCCCATTACCTTCTATTGCCCCCCATTGCTGCCCTATTGCCCCCCATTATACCCCCATTACCCTCTATTGC